CCAGCAGCAGCTCTACGCGATCCCCCGCGAGCTGTGCGAGGAGATCGCCGCCAGCGCGTTCACGCCGGCGAGAAGCTCGCGGGTGCCTCAAGAAATGTGAGAGCCATGGGGCGACCAAGATACTTTTGCGTGCAACCGACGCCGGAGGGGCCTTGTGGCGAGAGGGCCGTGGGGTGGGGTAAGTGTCGCGAGCACGGTGGCAATCCTAACGCTCGGTGTCTCCATCCCACGCCCGATGGCCCTTGTCAGAAGCAGGCACAAGGCGGCGGAGAGGTTCAGGCGTGCATTGCGCACGGTGGAGGAAAGAGGTGCCACCATCCCACGCCCGCCAGCCCTTAGCCTTGTCAAAAGCTGGTGCAGAACGGTGGTGAAGTCAAAGCGTGCATTGAACACGGTGGAGGGAAGAAGCGGCAGCGTTGTCTCCACCCGACACCCAACGGCCCGTGTCAAACATGGACGGCTCGCGGTAGCAAGGTCCAGGCGTGCATGATACACGGTGGGCGGAAGCCGCGGCGCTGTCTCCATCCGACCCCTAGCGGACCGTGTCCAAAGAATGCGGTGGGCGGTGGTTCGGTTCAGAAATGCGTTGCGCATGGCGGAGGGGTACGCTGCGGCTCCGAGGCATGTGCAGTGTTGGGATCGCCTCCTTTTGCGAAGTTTCGATCAGCGGAAGGCCAGCCGCTATGCTGGAGCTGCCTGGCAGCCCAGTACCCGGAGCGCGCCAAACTCAAGGTCCGCAAGGAGCACCTCATCTTGTGGCCGAACTGCAGCGGCGCCTCCCGTGGCTGGGGGAGTGCGCCACGCAGCTTGTGTGGGACTGCCCCGTGCCCGGCGGCTGCACGCTGAAGCGACCGGATATGCTTTACCGCTTCGAGGACCGCTTCGTGCAAGTAGAAGTCGACGAGGAGGGCCACGAGGACCTGAGCTGCTCAGACGAGGACAGTCGTCTCGAGCTCATCGCCGCGGACGTGGGTTTGCCCGGCCTGGTGCTCCGACTCAACCCGGACGCGGAGCAAACCCTCAAGCGTCGGCGCCTCAGGAACGGCGAAGCCGCCTTCGCCGTCGGGGAGGCCGACGCCTTCAACGCCCTCTTTGCTTCTGCCGAGACCGAGGTGGAGGCCTTCCTGAACGAGCCGGCCCCGGAAGGCGTGCGGGTGGCGGGGTTCCCCGCGAGCTGGTGGGACGGAAGGTAAATGTGCCTCTACGAGTGCTATCGTGCCCTTTGTTTAAATGAGTCCTGTCAAACTCTTCCCCACCGCCGAATACACTTCAAAACAACCACGCGACGCGATCGT